CCGTAGTCATCATCCTCATCATTATCATTATCATCATAATCATCATCACCACCATCATTATTCATTCTCGTCGTTTCGTTTGACACTTTTAATATCATTGCCTTGCTCTTATTATTGTTATTATTATTTTATTATTATTATTATTGTTATTATTATTATTAAGATTATTTGGAATATTATTATTATTTTCTTACACTGCCTTGACGACGTTCTCACGCATAAATCACATTTCCATGTGTTAGGCGAGTTTATGCAAATGTCCATGATGACATTGATATGATATAGGATATGATATGATATGATACGATACGATATGATATGATACGATACGATACGTTATGATACGATATGATATGATATGATATGATATGATTAAGATATGGTATGATATATAATCTGATACGATACGATACGATACGACATGATATGATTATGATATGATATGATAGGATTATTATATAATATATGATATGATATGATATGATATAATATGATATGATACGATACGATATGATATGATATGATATGATAGGATTATTATATAATATATGATATGATATGATATAATATGATATGATACGATACGATATGATATGATACGATATGATATGATATGATATGATATGATTATGATATGATATGATAGGATTATGATATGATATATGATATGATATGATGTGGTATGATATGATATGATACGGTGGAATAGAATGGGGACTGATTAAACATATTATTTCACCACTTTTTTCCATCGTTTCACCATTCCACCACAAAGAATAGAAATTCTTTATAATTTATTAATATTTCTACCATTCTAGCAGTTGTTTTTTTTAATGTGTTATTGTCGCCAGTTAATATTCTGTAGCCTGTTCAATTCCTTTCTTCTATGTTGTTGCATCTTCCACTGAATTTTATGGCCGATCATTATCGTACATAAAACCAAATTTTCGCCAATTGCGACATTGATAAAAGTTTGCCTACTATGGATTTTTTTATCAGTAATTAGTTTTTTTTTGAAAACAACATCAAATGTTTGCTTATTGATTATAATTATTTGATAATTATCATAACAATATTATTTTTATGTCATTGACTATGGCAACTTAAACAACGACACCAGGACGTAAATCCAATCCAGTAGATCCAACAATATCCAAAATGCATGCCCGACAAATCCAACCTACAGACCAAACCACAACACAGACCCAGCAGAAGACATGCAATAAATCATGAAGCCGGCTAAGAGCTAATTCGCCATCGATGGGCGTTTATAACTTCATAAGTGCATTAGCGGCACACGCCTGCAGAAGTTGCGTCGTTACATCATTAAATAATGCATTTGCAGAGCAAACATCAGCCAGCCAGATTTATGCACCAACAAACATGCCACAACAGAACGCGCTGACTCGGTTAAATATATACTGCCCGCAATTCGTAGCCCAGGTACAAATGGGTATTTACATGCATACATTATTTGTTTTTACTGTTCTGCACAACTAAACATACAAATATTTCAAAAATGTGTTTTGCTGAAAATAATAGTACAAGGATGTAGAGACACACAAACACACACATGTCACTTGGAGAATGATGCAGTAAGCAGTTCTCCTTAAGAAATATCATCGGATACAAGACAAATGAGTTTTGGACTCTAACAATTTGTCAACGACATCGTCTTCATTGCGCGTGCCTTCATTATATACGCTACCCAACTTCTGTCATCACCACTAATTTTCACACTCTAATGTCATTTTCGTTAAGAAACACTAAAATTTTATTATTTTATAAACATTTGCTCTGCTATTATTTTGCAATACAACGAGAAATAATCTTTTACGAGCGTTTTTGAAATTATTTTATCGGCTCATTACGACTCGCG